TCTCGATAAGGAGCAAGATTCACCTGGATTCTACAACGTTAATGTGAACGTTGAATCCCAGGTAGGTATACCAGCAATTGCGTAACTGGTCACAATCGTTTTCCTTTGCTTAGGACGAACGACATGTTGGACTAACCAGTTCGAGCACAACTTTGAAGTCATCCGATGAAGTGATGGTAGAGGATTTCAAAGTTGGTGCACTTGGAAAAGATGATGTCGCCAGCGGCGCCATTCTAGTTAGGTTTGTAAGTCGATTTCTTCCGAACAATTAGTTTTGCTGTAAGTCCTTACATTTGCTTTTTGTTCCCTTCTCGCTGTTGCTCTGTTTCTTTTTTGTTCCAAAATCCTTCGTCTATTATGACTCGTGAGTATGACTTTACAAGAATCCCGTTTCCGCAAGGATGATGTAGCTAGTGGTCCATACTTGCAAAAGGTCGAGGGGTGCACAATTATGCCCCTATATCGCCTGTTTTAAAAACTGTGTTATCCCACCTGACTGTAAATGCGTTAGTTCTGGAAGGAAAACATGATGCGTTATTTTTTACGAATGCAACGTCACAAACCTATGCAGAAACGTTTCTGTTTCTTTTCTGTTTATCTTCTTGCCCACTCGTGAATTAGGTAACGTCTGTTCCTATTGCAGTGTTGCTCAGTTCTCGAAGTATGAAAAGGTGATCGAAGCAGACATTACCAAACGGTTATATATGTCGTTCTCCGTCAGGAGCAAGGTTTCGATGCGTTTGGTCCAACCTCATCAAGTTTGTATATGTTCGTTGCTTTGTTATGTAAGTTCAATATACGACGACTCATCTTATTCCAGGCATTCATTCTATTCAAACATGTCAATGGTGGCGAAGTTTTCTACACAGCTGATGTGCAAACTGGAGGGGAATACCTTGTTGATATAGTCAGTTTTTTGTTTACTAATTTTGTTAGCATGTTGTAAATGAGGATCATTTGAAACTAAGTAGAATTAAAGCTTCAAACTGAATCAAACTGAAGGAACTCAAGCTTTTGCTATCTAGTAGTAAACTGTACTGGTTTCCTGCATTCACATATTTCAGAACCTAGCTAAAGCTCACAAAGATTTTGAGGGTGTATCGGGGAAGTACACTGTATACCTCATTATTGGTGATGCTACCATTAGAACTCCATTGAATTGGCCTTTTGTGAGTAATTTTGTCTTGATTTCTTGTTGTCATTTTTATGAATGTAAGCGATGTAGTACGCGCTTGCATTTCTCATTTAGGCGGACTTTATGCTAACTCTTCCACCCGCACCTGTAGAGGTCGTACCCAAATC